GCTTTATTTTGAGTGAACCTTTATTATTGGTTGGGTATGTAAAAGAAAACACATTTCTCAGCCCAGGTAAGACATGGAGTAATATAAGGGTAAGAGAGCCCTGGACTTTAAATCTAGTCATAGGGTCATAGTTCTGACTCTTTTTGATCTTGAGTAAGTCTCTTATCCTTGTTAGGTCTTCCTTTTCTTTCTATAAAATAGTAAGGGTGGCTTGTACAATCTGAGGTCTCCTCCACCTCTAAATTCTCAGACTGTAGAGAGAATATGGGTATTATAATGACTGTTAGCATGTTAATGCTCTTATTTTAGGCATTTTAATCCCCATATCCCTATTTTAACAGTTTGTTAAGGGAATGTATGTACTATATATGTATGTAAATATAGTGTGTTCTAAATTTACATGAGAATAAAATATTTTATGAGTATCTTTTTTTTTTTTTTTCCATCTTCACCAGAGGACATTTTTCCATTTTTGTTCAGATAGAGTGGGAGGGAGAGAGAGAGAGAAACATCGACGTGAAAGGGACACATCGAGTGGCTGCCTTCTGCACGGCCCTGGACACGACCCCAACCAGGGCCAGGGACAAATCGCAACCGAGGTACATGCCCTTGACAGGAATCAAACCCACGACTCATTGGTCTGTAGGCTGCTGCTCTAACCGCTGAGCCAAACTGGCTGGGGTTATGAGTATCCTTTTAGGCTAGTACAATCTGCTATGGAATAGTTCTGTAGGATCTATTCTTTATTTTACATCCTCACCTGAAGATATTTTTCCATTTATCTTCAGAGAGTGGGAGGGAGGGAGGGAGGGAGGGAGAGAGAGAGAAACATTGATGTGAGAGAGACACATCTGGTTGCCTCCCACATGACCCTGATCAGGGCTGGAGACTGAACTGCAACCAAGGTATGTGCCCTTGACTAGAATTGAATCTGAGACTTTGGTTTGAGGGTCAGTGCTCTAACCACTGAGAAACTGGCCATAGAATCTATAGAATCTATTCTTAACTCTTATTAGAGTGACAGGAAAATTTTCCTTTTATTTTCGTGATCTTTAAGACTGACTTATTTTCTAATACAGGAGCATTATCTCATTTCTAGTCTTTGCTGCTTTAAAATCTTCAGAATTCCTTGAAACAACATTTTGTCCTTTGATGGTGTTCTCTTCAAATATTCTTTTTTCCCCTTTGTGGGCTCTTGTGTTAGGGAAACTGATGCTTCCAGTTTTCAGTCTGTTAAAGCTATTATTCCTTGAGTCATACTTGGATATTTACCTTATCTAAGCATTATGGCCTCTTGTTTCTTCAAGAGTTCAATTATTAAATCAGGGTTTTCAAAGAGGGGCCAAAAGCAGGAAAATGACTATAAACTTATTTCACTTTGGAAATCATTGTTTTTAATAAAAAATAGTCAAATTTCGTTTTTTGCAAAGTGCATTCAATTTTGGAGTAAAAATATTTAAGATTATGTTGCTATTTCATCTGAGAGGCACGCCTTTCTTGTTTTGTTTTTTCCATGTTTGAGCTGTTTTATTTGTCACAGTGGGAAGAAGTGTGGAAGGATAAGGAATAGGTGAATGTGGTTAAGAGGCTTCTGAGAAGATGAGTTTTTGGTAAAGTTTTGGAAGTTATTAATGTAGCTTGATAGAAAAAAGGTATTTTCTGAAGTAACTTAGACTACTTTTTAAAAATTAGATTCTTTAATCTTCTGTTTGTTATATGTTAAACAATGGAATAAAACTGAGTTTGGTGCCCTGGCCGGTTTGGCTCAGCGGTTAGAGCGTCGGCCTGCAGTCCTGAGAGACCCGGGTTCGGTTCCCGCTAAGGGCACGTACCTCGGTTGCAGTTTGTCCCCGGCCCTGGTCGGTTGTGCGGGTGGCAACCACTCGATGTGTCCCTTCACATCGATGTTTCTCTCTCTCTGTTCCTCTCTCTCTCTCCCACTCTACCTGAACAAAAAATGGAAAAATGTCCTCGGGTGAGGATAAAAAAAAAAAACAACTGAGTTTGGTTACTTGCCTGCAATTTAGAGATTTAGAAACAAATTTGGGGAACATTCGTTATTAGAGCATAGTAACTTACTTCCAGATATGTGAGTGATACTGAGCATCTCTTCTAGTGAGGATTAAAAATAAGTAAATAAATACAGTAAAATATTTTATGTTGCAGAGTTTTAAGTATTTTAATAATGGACATTTGAGAATCAGATATTCTGTATTATATATGTTTGTGATACAGGGAAAATAATGAAGATCTAGACATATAAAAAGCAAGCTTACTCCATGTCACAATTTACTTTTGTCTTTCTTTTGTACAAAGCAAGTACTTTGGAACTTTTGACAACATATACATTTGAAAATGGATGTGGAATGATGATTATTCTTATGCAGCATAATGTATCCATCTATCCTTCTTATAGGACTTTGTTCTTATGTTTCTACAGATCCAGGGATGTGAAATAAAGTTATCTCATATTTGTAGAGTGTGCTTTTACTTTTTTCAAAGTATTTGCTACCTTTATTTTGAGATGGTTTCTGTTGGGTTCCTCTGTTTGAGGGCCTCTTTCAGTTTCTTTGGTTTAAGTACTGAGGTTGTGCAAGTTTTGCGCTGTTTTTGCCTTTGCCTTGTGATTCTCACAATGACAGAGTTATACCAAGTTATCTCTCCAATACGTTTAACACAGATGAGGCTAGACACTTCTCTGGAACTACTTAAGTCGGTGGCTCTTAACCTTCCTAATGCTGCGACCCTTTAATACAGCTCCTCATATTGTAGTGACCCCAACCATAAAATTATTTTTGTTGCTACTTCATAACTATAAATTTGCTACTGTTATGTCTTAGGTGACCCTTGTGAAAGGGTCGTTCGACCCCCAAAGGGGTAGCGACCCACAGGTTGAGAACCTCTGACTTAAGTAGACCTGAAACTATTAAACTAGGTATCTTCCCATCATGTACTGTCTCCTACTCTCTGCTCAGTAAACTAATGCTCAGTGTATTCCCCCAACTATTTCTGCCTCATCTAAAGGTTAATGTAGTAGAAAATAAAACTTACCTTTATTTTACCTTGTTAGTGGAATCTGTAGGGTGTGGATTGCGATTATCACACATTTGGAACACCTTTTGGAGAATAATGCTTTATCTGCATTTATCTGTACTATTTGGAAGATGCAGTGAAAAGTCATTAGTAGATTGTGTTTCTCACATTTGAATTAAATCTGCTACAGTTTTCCCACTCTGCTGTCTACACCCTTTTAGAACTGGTTTGCATTTCAGTAGGACAAGTTAGAGGGCCTTAAAGTACAGTGAGTCAAAGTATTGAGTGTTTTAAGAGAAAAACAACTAGCAGTGGCCTGATGTGCCTCTCTAAAGGTGAGAGGATGAGATCTGATGTGTGCCGCCTGGAGATGAAGTGGCCAGACTGGGTGAAGAGCAAATGGTTTAATCCAAGGGTTGGACCAGATATACTATGTAGCTTCAGTTGGTCCTGTCTGCTGGAAACATAGTCTGGTATAGGATGTAGAGATTGCCCAAGGGCTGGAGTAATTTTGTTTTATTTCTGTAATGAATAGTCCAAATTTTATTTGGCTCTAGGCCAGTGAGGGAGTGATTAATTTCATAGATTCCTTAGAACCATTTTGGGAGTAATTTCTTTTAAATAAGTGTTTTTTCTACAATTAAATATAGAACATTGAATTTTGACGTACACCTCTCCTTCCCACCTTCTCTGTCATTTATGTCTCACCCACTCTTACCTAACACTTTATTAAGCTTCAATATTCTTTTTGCCTATTCTTCCATCTATCAAACTTTCTTATCTGTGGCGCTGTATAAGGTAAGAATGGTCCTGTATATCAGTTTGAGATCAGTGATTATGTGCCAGGTAAGTATCCGGGTGCAGAGAAGCTGCACTAGACTTGTTCTAGCACTTCTACTATGTAACATTCTCTTAGGAGCTATGCTGCCACTTAGGGTGAAACAGGGGTGGACTCTTGTCCTCTTTTCTTCTCCTCTTGGATTGAAACTAGAGTAGGGTGTTGTAGTTATTCTGCTTCTGTGTTTGGGTGCTTCTCCCTTGGCCTAGTATCAGGGGTCACCTGTTCCAATCCTAGTTCCTCCAAAGAGTGAAGCACTGATTCTGTCTCTTTTCCTCACCCCTTTATTTTCTTAAATTTTTTTTTTTTTATTATTTAGAGAGAGGAAGGGAGGGAGAGGTAGAAACATCGATGTGAGAGACGAACATCTATTGGCTGCTTCCTGCACACTCCTTACTGGAGATCGAGCCTGAATCATAGGCATGTGCCCTGACGAGTCATCAAACCGGCACCTCTCATTCCATGGGAGGATTCTCAGCTCTCTGAGCCACAATGGCCGGGCGTCTCACCCCTTTCTAAATTAGCTTCTTATAAGTTTCAGAGCAAGGCATTCACAGTTCCTTAACTGAATCCAGGAGGAGATGCTAGAGAAAGCATTCCTATGATCAGATTTCCTTGTGGAGTTTGTAGTTTAGCTGTTTTTCTCTTACCTCAAAGCAGTCTTTTCCCTCTATGCCATTTTTCACTAGTTCCTACTTGCTGGCTTCATATGTCCAGGGGTCCTCAGATTCAAGCTACTGTTGCCATTTGGTTTTTCCTAGTATCTCACTTCTCAAAGGATCTCTCTTTTATGGTACCCTTTAACTCTTTTTAAATCCTGTCATTATTGTCTGGTGAAACATTTAATACTATTTTTCTAGGTAATTTTAAAAATCATCCTTTGGAGGAAATGTACTGAGTGGAAAAGAGCTAACTTGTCACTGAAAGTTTTGAGTAGAGCCATCTCATAGCTCCTTTTGCTCTTGTAGTTCTAAATTAGGTTAGGGAATTTCAGAATGCAAAAATTAGCTAGTAGGCAAACTTCTAGCTATAATTTTGATGAAAGAATCAAAGAGGAATGACCAGAAAAATTTTAATACATCTTTTATAAGTTTTGGTTTTGATGTCAGCCTTTTATTTTTATTCTTAGTTGCTTTAGGTCGCAACCAGCCTTTGAAAAAGGAGAAACCCAAATGGAAAAGTGATTATCCCATGACAGATGGACAGCTGCGCAGCAAGAGGGATGAATTTTGGGATACTGCACCAGCTTTTGAAGGCCGTAAAGAGATTTGGGATGCCTTGAAGGCTGCAGCACATGCTTTTGAGAGCAACGATCATGAACTGGCACAAGCAATCATTGACGGTGCAAACATAACGTTACCACATGGTAGGTGATCCTCAAGGACAAAGGGGAACACAGTGGGCTCATGTCTAATAGCAAGAAACCAAATGGGAAGTGTTCATTTTACTTGCTATGTATTTTTCTTCCTTCCTTCCTTCCTCCCTCCCTCCTTCCCTTTCTCCTTTCCTCCTTTCCTCCTTTCTTCCTTTCCTCCCTTCCCTCCCTTCCCTTCCTTTCCTTTCTTCTTTGTAAAATGGAGTATTTTGCCCTGGCCAGTTTGGGTCTGCAGTTAAGAGCGCTGGCCCGTGGACACAAGGGTTGAGGGTTTGATTCCTGGTCAAGGGCATGTACCTGGGTTGCAGGTTCGATTCCTGGGTCTGGTTGGGGTCGTGCAGGAGGCAACCAATGCTCTCACATCAATGTTTCTATCTCACCCCCCCCCCCCCCGCTCTCTCTTTTAACTGGAGCTAGGTTTACTGAATGTTTCTTTATTGTTTTTTGCTTGATGTGTCTATATTTTTGTTTGTTTTTAAAAATATTTTTAGTCTTAAGAAAGAGAACTCTTGTTCGCTTGTTAACCTGTATTTTCTAACTTCCATATAATCTAGTTTTCCATCAAGGTCCCAGTCTCCTAGAACTTCTTCACTGGTTGCCTACCAGCACTAAAGCGGTAGTCTCAAATTTAGATCTCAGAAATTATGGAGACTCAGTGGATGCTCCTTTAGTCATTACAGTTTCTCATCAAGCCTGTGTTTAGCATAAATTTGGAAGTGAGTCTCATGTGTTGCTAAGGACAGTTTTCTATGGTTGTATTGTTAGAAATCTTTCTTCTTTGCTCAGGAATGTGAAAGCTTTGAATGTTTCTAGGGACACATACATGCTAGACCCATGCACATCCTTTTGCTTAGTCTTCTTGATTAAACACCAAAAATTTTCATGCTATACTGAGAGTTAGGTGTTAATTTTGTATATAATTTTTTTATTATACAAATTTATTTTTCACTTCAGGTTTTCAAGTTAATATTATTCTAAGTTGTCTCTTTAACCCCATATATATTCACCTGTATGCATTGTTTTCTATTCATTATTATACCTTCATTGTTTCTTTTTCCTTATCTTCCTTTATTTGCCTCCATTTTCAGAGGAATGGTGCTTTTCACTGTTTAATCATCTGCTTTATGTTCTTTGACCCTTTCAAATAAAAGGTATTTAACTTAGTGTCCTTCCCACTTTTCTAAATCTCTATTAATTTTTTCTGAATGAACTGTGCTTCCAAGAAACTTTTTGTCCTGGCTGGTGTGGCTCAGTTAGTTGGGCATCATCCTGGGCACTGAAAGGTTGCCAGTTCAATTCCCAGCTAGGGCTCATGCCCAGGTTGCAGACTTGATTCCTGGTAAGAGGCATGCAGGAGGCAGCTGATTGATATTTTTGCTCTCACATCGATATTTCTCTTCCTCTCTCTTTAAAATCAGTAAAAAATAAAACATATTTAAAAATATATTTTTTATAGCTCTCCTGTTTTTGATAAAAGCTTATTAGTATGGGCTTGTGTTAATAATATTTATTGAGCACCCGCTGTAGAGAGATTGCTTTTTCTACAAAAATGATCCCTTCCACAATGAAAAATTTATTAATAGAATGCCATTTCAGTATGACTCTAGTTCCTATTTTTATGACTAGTCTGAATTCTTTACCTCTTATATGATTAGGGGTGGACATCATCTTGCTCCATTATGTTTAAGAGTTTTATAATTTGTCTCCAAATACTACCTTTATATAGTGTAAAGGGAAGGACCTTCCTTTTCAAATAGTTTTATCATCCTTCTCGTTTTAATGCCTATATCCTTTTTTTTTTTTTTTTTTTTTAATCCTCATCCGAGGACATCTTTCCATTTTTTGTACAGACAGAGTGGGAGGGAGAGAGAGGAAGAGAGAGAGAGGGAAACATCGATGTGAAAGGGACACATCGAGTGGCTGCCACCCGCACGACCAACCAGGGCCGGGGACAAACTGCAACCGAGGTACATGCCCTTAGTGGGAACCGAACCCGGGTCTCTCTGGACCGCAGGTGGATGCTCTAACCGCTGAGCCAAACCGGCCAGGGCTCCTATATTTTTAAAACAGAATATATTTGTGTTTGTATAGGCCTGCAAATGTTGGGGGTGGGGTGGGGTGGGAGAAGAATTGTTTAGCTGTGATTGTCTTAATTTAGAAGCCTGAGATCCAGCACCTTGGAACTTTGACTTTCTTACTTGTATTTATCATAGTTACCTATAGGAATGTCTGATTGTGTTCTGTAAATTATGGCTTTGTTTACAAGTTCTCAGAGGCCGAGTAGCTTTGTTTCATGTAAGGCAGGGGCCCATGCATATCCTGTTGGATATGGGCTCAGATTAAAGACTCCAGTCCCTCATTTCTGCTTATCTGTGTGAACTGCCAAGAAAAGTAATGTTGCTGGCAGCCCCACCAACTAATAGATTAGGGAGAGTTATTCTTGGAAATTTGAGAACATTGGATGAGCCTCTATTCCCCCTCTATGTTTAAGGAATATGTCCTACTTTATCATGAAGGAATCAAACGGATGTCTGAACTTTTCTCTTTCAAAGCTTTATAATAACTTTCTGGGTATTGATATTATTGTCATTGGTACCCTTGATTGAATTCTCTTGTTTATATCTGAAACTTATCAATAATACTTCTTAGATGGGCTTTTGAATTATATTCTGTCATCTATTCTAAATCACCATCAGTTTATAAACACTATTTAGTTACATGCTTTTACTTAGACCTACTCAGTGATGTTGCTGAAATCCATTCCATCTTTTTGGTGTAATTACATATTTGAAATTTTGCTTTGGACACATTTTGTTGTTATACCCCGAACATCCAAAAGTACTTACTATTTTGAGTTTAAAATATTGCATAGACTTTAGCTATTGTTTAGGTCAGGCTCTGGTATCAGACCTAGCCTTATTTCCTGCCTCTACCATATTTCTTGTAGCTATGTGGCTTTAGGCAAATCTCTTCTTTTCTATAAGCTTCAGTTCTCTCACCTGTAAAATATGGATTCTCACCACCTACTCATAGGGTGGTTGTACTGATTAAATGTGATAATAACACATGGAAATTGCTTACCATAGTCCAAAATGCACTTAATAAATAGTGGTGCTGATGATTGTATTTCTTGAACTCTGACATTAACAAGTAAATTCCTTGCAGCAAAATCTTTAATTATAGACTTTGATCATTTTCTGGATGTGTTGGTAACATTTTTTGGTTTTTAGAGGACTCTGCCTTGGGCATATTTATGCCTAATGAAATTGTGAGATTGTGTTGATTCAGTAGCACCAACAGTAACAGATATATTAATTGGACGCCAAAACAGGACATAGTTAAACATCATTCCATACGTAGGCCATCCCTATCCCTTTAATTCGCATCTGTCTTTATTGAACTGATCATAGATTGATTATATAAAGAGATCCTGGGACATACACTCCTTTCTTTCTTTCTTTTTTTAATAATCCTCACCCAAGGACATACTTAGTTTAGAGGGGAGAGAGAGAAACATCGATGTGAGAGAGACATATTGATCGGTTGTCTCCCACATGACCCGTGCTGGGGATCGAACCTGCAACCCAGATACATGCCCTTGATCAGAATAGAACCCACAACTCTTCTAACTATTGAGCCAAACTGGCCAGGGCCAATGCCCATTTTAAACAGCTGAGAAAACTGAAGTATACAGAGAGAGAGGTTATATAATTTTTTTCAAGATATAAGTCTTGGAATGGGGATTTTGAACTCAAGTCCTGTATCTAATAGTAACTAAGGCAGCTTAATGACATGCTCAAGTCATTTCATCTCTGTTTTCTGTAAAGTGACTGCATAAGTAACCTTTTTTTTTTTTTTTCTTTTTCTTTATTGATTTTAGAGAGGAAGGAAGGGAGAGGGAGAGAGACACAGGAACATCGATGAGAGAGAATATCAATTAGCTGCCTCCCCATGTCCCCCAGGGACCGGGCCCACAACCTGGGCATGTGCCCTGACTGGGAATCGAACCTCTTGGTTGCGTAGGTTGACGCTCAGCCACTGAGCCATACCAGCCGGGCTGCATAAGTAATCTTCAGTGTTAATTTTATATCTAACATTTGAGGTCCTTTCCACACTGTGTAGAACACAGTTGACCTTGAGCAACATGGGTTTGTACTGACAGGGTCCACTTATGCAGATTTTTTAAAATAAATACCTTAAATGTATGTTCTCTTATGTTTTTCTTAATAACATTTTTAAAATTTTATTGTAAGAATGTATATGCTACATATAACATACAAAATATGTGTTAATCTCCTGTGTTATTGGTAAGGCTTTCAGTCAACAGTAGGCTATTAGTACAGTTTTGGGGGAGTCAAAAGTTATATGTGGATTTTCTATTACATGGGGGTTGGTGTCCCTAACCCCTCTTGTTATTCATGGGTCAACTGTATTTTACAATGATTTACTTCTGTTAATTCTGAAGAGAAACAAATGGATCCTCTAAGACATAGATAGGCAGGAAATGCATATTGTGTAGACCTTGTTTTTATTTCCCTAAAGTGTGTCAGAGGCCCATTAAGAAGCAAGACATGGATTCTGGTTTCTTTAAAGGTCCCTATAAGACTGTGTCATTTACTAAGCTTAATTGATACGTTAAGTTATGAATATAAAGCTTAGGATTGAAAGTATGAAGATATTGCACATGCACAGCAAACAGGATTTTCACCAGACTCTTGTGTTTAGAAATAAAACAGAGGTTGGTCGAGTGCAGTGGTGTCTTATAACTAATTGATCACAGCCAGTTACAGATTTCTTTGTTCCTTCTCCACTCCCACTGCTTCACACTCAAGCCTTAAAAAAGAAAGAAAGAAATGAAACAGAGCCTTAATAAAGTATCTAGTGACTGAGTATTCATAAATTGACTTATATCCCTTTCTCTGTCTTCAAGAAAACAAAAATGTTTTGGAGTTATAAAATGTAAATTTAGGCCATCGGCCCATGCACCAAGA